TCACAGCACAAAGGTGTGAGTTACGATATATATATATATATATATACACATATATATATATATATGTATATATTATTCCTGTCGCTGTACAATCGTGTCGCGTTGATGTGTGTTGTATCTATCTACCACTATCGTCTCAAAATATCTTGTAATATCCACTGATTTTTCATTTACTTAATAGGTGTTAGCAAAACGAGCAAATCGATTTGGACTGCTCCGTCCTGCTGGTGGTTTGAGTCTTACCGATGACAAACTCGTGGCTCGAGCTAAGCGTTTCGGTTTGCCTGTGGCTGAGGGTCTCACTGGCGTTGATGGATTGCGGCCCATCACAACGGGGTCGCCCGTTATTTCCACAGACGAAGCAGACAAATTGCGTCGTCGAGCCGAACGCTTTGGTGAAGTCACCAGCAAGCCAGTGCAAAAGGTAAATCAATTGTATAAAATGCTGTTTGGATGCTAGTGTTTTTGTTTGATAGTGCGTGAAATATCATTCAGGATATCCACTGCATTCCGCTTGTCGACATGGGTTTTCAATGTTTAGACCTAATTTTTTAGCAGTTTCAAGTGACCTGTATTGAATAATCTGTCAGATCATTTTTCTATCAAACGCGTTATTTTCCAGTTGATCGCAATAGGCGTATTCCCTTAGCATACACCGCTAGTAAAGCCCATATTAAGTGAAAACGCAGATTCATGTGAGTCTGGTTGTCCCAGGTTCGGTCCCCGGTCGGGTCGATGGAGTTGCACTGCTAACGAGACCCAACCAGGTCGAAACAGCTGTCCAGTGCATCCGAGCTTTTCAGTTCACACTTCATTTGCTGTATACACGACGAATTCCCATTTGAAAACGCAGTTTAGCGAACAAGCTTATTTCTACTGATTCATCAACTGGCTAATACGTCATCATTTTGTATTTTTTTATTACACACCTAAGTGTGATGAACAGCAGACGGGGCAAACCCCATAGTCACGAGGACCTACTGTTCAGTGGTGAAAACTGGTAACCTAAGCCCCGGAACTTGAAGTGGTGGACCACATACATCCCCGATAGGTTAGGCGTGGTATTGAACCAGATGACAGCAGAGCCGCCTACTGCCAAAGTCGGGTAGCGGTAGCGGGGCTCAAACCTCGGCCCATGGGGTCCGGAGCATGCCTGTGACAGCGACTAAACCACCGCACCATCACTACCACTGTACAAAAAAGAGGAAACAAAGTAAATGAATATTCAAATGGAGGTTTTTTCTGCTGCTGTTTTCGTTGTTTTCTGTCTCAGTTTCACTAACCGGATATAGCTGATCTTGCACTTGGACCGTGTTACTTATGTGATTTGGGATGAGATAGGGTGTGGATAAGGATAGCTGGATGACTATGGTAGGCTGAGTGACTCCACAAATTGCTTTTGGGCGCATAGCGAGGGGTGGATTATGTAGATGAACTCCAACCGCCTCGGCGATGACCAGGATGCTACTTGTAATCAGCATTGATCGGCGTCCCCAAACACGGTAGAGAGGCCAAAATGCTTCATTCACACTCAGTGTGTGATCGGATTCGGCGAGGTGTGAATTGATGGCACTTGTAATCGTTTTAATTACACCAGTGTTCAGCCAGAACAGACGATGTTCCCGAACTCTTGTAGATGAGGCGCGTGCTCGTGCGGCCGATAAGCGTTGCTCCAAAGGAACACGTAAACAGGTGCACTCAAAATTAGACTGCAGAAGCAGGCATCTTGCCTTGCGAACACAGGATCAGTCTGGACGTGAATACGATACGTAATTTCGCCGCATGAAAAGTATTCTTTAATGTAGTTCCCAGTTTACGGCTAACCAACTCCACGATTGTATCCACTTTGTCGACGGCATATTGTCTTTTGTGGGCAGTAACGTCAAGGTGTCCAACTTGCTCAGGATATTTGATTCGGTTCATCCCAATACTAAATTAACTTTGGAAGAAGAGGTTAATGGCGAGACTGGTTTTCTCACACATACGGCTCTATCCAGAGATCAGTCTATAGAAAAGCGACTTGGAGCCGCTAGTATCTCCATTTCAGAAGTTTTGTGCCACTCAAACGAAGAAGAAATCNTAGGGCGGTGAAAATATGCACTGATGACACTATGAATGCGGAACTTGCATTCATCCGTGATGTTTTCCTGCAAAACTGCTATCCAGAACGTTTCGTGGATAGCGTTTTACGAAATAATCAAGCCAAATGGAACTGACTGACTATCTCTGAAGACAACACCTGAACAAACATGAATGGGCAATGCGGTTCAGTCCTGGCATGAGCTGGTTAGCACAGTGGTAACACGCCTTCCATGCGATGGGTCCGGTGTTCAAAGTCCGGACAAGACGGGAAGAAATGCACTACTGATTAGCTCTAATAAGAGCGAAACACGGGTTTAGTGCTTCCGAGTGTATGGTTGACTGGAAGAGCTGAGGAATGTGCGTGAAGGTGGAGTCTGAAGGATGGCCAGTTCTAAACAATCAATCAAATTGGGAAAATTCAGGCGGTTGTGTTGGGCTTCGAACACGCCATCTGGGGTGATAATTTGGTCATCTTTACAGCTTCAGCACCACCACGGTTCAGGTAACTCGAGAATGAGTCTTCCTCTGAACTAAGTCACAGGTTCCTCTTGCTGAATAAAACGATGTAAGGTACCGGTTTTTCACGCATGAACACTCCCACTCCCCGGCTGGGTCTTCCGATTATGCCCTAACCAAAGTTTCCTCAGTAGTGTACAGCAAAATTCGATCGCGTAACTTTTACGCTAATCCTCGACACCAAAAGAAGAAAACACTGATGTAACCCAGAGAACCTAGAGAAACTCCATGTGATGGTCTTTCAGGCAGACCAGTTTGTTCTACTACCCTGATCCTTCCATCTGTACATTTGCTATATATGTACATAACACCAATCTTTACAGATACGGCGCCAAAAATAACCATGAGTTAACCAAAAATATTGGTACAGAAGCGGGGAAACAAAACAGTCAACTTGATGGAAAGCAAATTTGTTTGTTTGTTTACTGCATGCCGTTTTGAGTGTTTGGTATTGCACACAGAAGAGGATGCATTCGCGCCACTGACTTCGGTTCGATGCCATATCCCGCAATGTCTCCAGCCAAAGATAGTCTGAATCTTTGGGGCCCCAACCGGGGAGCCGGAAAACCAGCGGAAGCCAGATCCGAACACAGTCTCTTTAACCCAGGGTGCACTTCCTACAGAACTGCTTGTGGCAGCCAGCGCGGGAGGGGTGGTTGAACTGCTCAGCGTTCCAAGCGTCGGTAAAGACTGTTTATTAGCGTGCCGTCCACTTCTCAGATTATTTCACTAACGCACCATCTTTTGGGGCCTGTAGTGCGGATGAGCTGGAATAGTTACCGGGTGTTTCCACACCTATCTGCTGATTCCATCTCCTTTGCACGTAGCGTTCACCAGGCCTCTCGGTCGTCTCTCAAACTCTTAGTGAGTTCACGCTTCATTTGTTCATTGTACTCGCGGTCTGCGATGATTGCCCGACGTGCGTCGAGGAGTCGGAGGAAACCCAGTTGTTTACAACTCGGCGGGTCAGACCGTAACTATGTAAACTGGCTGAGTGCATTGCGTTTTGAATGGTTGTCCAGTGTTGATCTACGCTTTTTGTTAGTAGTTAACCTTGCGGCCAACTCGTTTTGGTAATCGGCTAGTACGGCCGGATCAGAGAGCTTGGCGACGTCAAGCTGTTTGCGTCACATCTTTTTGCGGCCACCAAATCACATAGACAATTTGGCACAAACCCGTACGTGATCGGAGCCCAAGCAGGTAGACCAATACGAACGACAGTCTTTCACACCCTCTCTATCTAATAGCTATATATAGCTAATATAGCTATAGCTAATAGCTATATGGTCAATCTCTGCCGAAGGCGGGTTACGCCAGGCNGCCAGGCGGTGAGGTGACGCTTAGAGTATCTGAAGTTCATGCTAACTAGGAACAGACCGTGTTCTGAGCATATGCTAAGAAGTTTATCCCCATTATCTGAACGACAGCTATCAAGGGCGTGATGGCTACCAAGGCGGGTCTCATCGGGTGACAGACGACCAACACGTGCGTTTAGGTCTCCGGCCAGGATCACAATATCCGTCTGAGGTGCTTTGAGAAGAAGCTCATGTAGCTTGTGGTGGAAGGCGTCCTTGACTGTATCCGGGCTACAGCCTGTGGGAGTGTATGCAGGAACTATGAATGAGCGTCGTTCATTTGGTTTTTGCTTTTTGACCTATTTGAGCTGCGCATAGTCGGCTGTCTATCGGGATGCAATCCAATGGACTAGCCTTGGCCCTGGCGCTTAAGGCAAT